AGTCGCTAGAAACAGTGTATCTACGTTTCTGTTGAAACACACCCCGGATAACCAACAACCTCGTACACTAGATAGCTTATGAAAAGCAGCTTGAAGTAGTGGTGTGGCTTCGATTGCAATCAAAACTACGCTGCAGGTTATCGTAAAAATCACGGTCGTCAGAAATAGTATGGCTCGACGTGACGACTTAGACTTTGAAGACGTGTTGAGGTTCCAAAATTGTTTTAATATAACGGACACAACCTCTGTATGTATACTTGTTTTTACTTGAAAAGAATATCAAAAATCTTTATTGTATGTCATTATTAATTGAAAATAGATAATTTTAAACCATGAGGATAATGTCTTATTATGGATATCAGGCATGGGAATACTTTCTTATACGGATGGAATCCGTGGTGATATTGTCTGTACTCCGCGAATTAAGCGACTTTCGGTTGCAATTGTTCCCACATCTGTCGGTATGTATATGGTGGAAAGAAGGCAATTTTTAATTAATTACGATATTTTTGATATTCAACATGCTGTAAAATAATGTGTGTGTTTATATATATAAATCTTTCAGTCTTGGACAACGGGTTGATTTTCAGTACGTGCTGTAAGGTAATCTGGTTTCTTTAAACATCATCCGTCTTGGACTACTGGTTGATATTCAGTACGTGATGTAAGGTAATCTGATTACTTTAAACATCATCCGTCTTGGACTACTGGTTGATATTCAGTACGTGATGTAAGGTAATCAGGTTTTTTTAAACATCATCCGTCTTGGACTACTGGTTGATATATATTGCAGCGCTAGATTTTTCCAGAAGTTTTAGTTACTCTTACTTGTTGTTCTTTGAAGAAAAGAGGTATTCTATATTGTGACCGAATATTTAGTCTCTTGTTGGAAAGAAACTAAAAAGTTTTTAGATGAAGTACATGTAGGAGGGGATTTAAGCAGTAAATAAAACCACAGAAATACAGTATATTTAGTGTTATGTTTTGAATTTGTTTTCTGTTGAACCTAAAAGTAATTTGTATAAGAAGAATAAAACTACTCGTGAAACAATAAAACGAGTCACTTTATTTAAGGTGACTGAAATACAAACAAACTCAGATTTTCTGGCTTTGTCAAGCGCATACAAGATAGAGTGACTATTTTCTTTCTCTACTGGTATGTGAAGCTCTTTTGAGACAGTAATAACTTTATTCTGCATTAAAACAGAATGCTCGGCTATCATCTATTGATTTAGAAAAGCACGTAAAGTATATGTAATTATCAAATGTAGGAAAATAAAGTATTAAAAACAACACAGATACAATCTTGAAAATATAACCCATGCAGGACTCATTGGCTCATTGTGATCTCTACAACCTGAACTCAGTTTGTTTGTTTTTCAATTGTGTAAAGTGTTTTGGCGAAATACTTTTTTACTTAAATAAATATATACCGGTAACCGAAAATTAAATTCTTTTTGTGACATTCTCCGAATATTTGCTATTGAAATGTGAAGTTACCTTCATGTATCATATCAACGTCATTTAAAACTATCAAACAAGGTAGTACACTTGTTTTTGTCGGAGGAATACATTGTATCATGGTGTGATAAGGATGTTATAATAATAGACGCCATACAACAATTCACCCAACTTGAGCGACAAAATTCAAATTGAAAAACTACAATATAACAGATGTAAAACAAAATACAAGGTGGACAGCTACTGAGCACAATTATGTGCATTATTTAAGCCAACAAATATATCTGGTAAATTTAGCTAGTTTTTGATAGTCACTTAAGTGTTATCGAAAATCAGGAGCACTTTTAAGTTATAAACTGTCCATCTGATAATATGTTTTGGCTTACGCTATAGTGAAATCGAAATGGAGTACATGACTCTTAAGTTTAAACAGAGAAATGCAATGGACATACCATATCAAAAAAGAAAAAAAAAAGGACGGGCCGGGCGTGGCCTAGTAATTAGCGTACTGGTAT